GCGCAAGGTGGCAGAGGATGATGCCAAGGCTAAGGGATGGGTGATCGACCCAGCCCCTTCTGACGATGATCGTGTCTTGCATGAAGATGGCGACGTCGTCATAATCAAAGAGAGCGACGTCGTCCGAGCACTGGAAGAGAAGGAAGAGGATGTCGTTCAGCGCCTGAGCCAAAGATTGATTGAACACCTGAATGGCGTTGAAAAGGGCAAGGCTGAGATGGAAAATCCTCAACTCTCTAATGCAGGGAAAGCGTCGTCGTCAGGGACTAAAGACGATTGATATGCTTACATTGTCTTGTTGTTTATTTTTTCTTTTGAGAATGTACTGTTATTTGGTTTTGAAATGGAATATGAATATTTGATGAATGAGATATTTGTTTTACGCATGTTTTAATGATTTATCATGTCGGAAAAGATGGGTAAATATTTGTCAAGTTTAAAATTTCCGACATAATAATAGCATAATAGTTTATACGAATTACTGACGTCGGTGTAATCTTACAGCACTTCCGACATCAAACTTGCCATTATCGGAAACAATTTATAGCTTATCTGACATCTACAAACTCCTTAATCGAACAAATCATAAAAGATTTGCTATTTACTGGAAATATTTATTGTAAGCTCACCAAATCATCGTTGGGATTCGGTATCATAGAGCATAAGCCTCCCCAAACCATCTTCAGGGCTTGGAAGTATCCGGCTTTGCTGCGTTCGGCTAGGTCATACCATCTTCAGGGTATGAAACACGTTTAGCCTTAGCAACGAGGACCGATTTATCGTGGTCCGAGTGATCGAACAGATTATTGGGGTTCGTCACACAAATTTTATTGATAACAAAACATGCTTCTTGTACAACAGTAGGACAAAAACTTTTTACACGTCGGGGACAGGACCTTCGGCATCAGATTTACTGGTAGTATTTCTTCATATATGTCGTATGCCAGGGATATTGAAGGGGAACACCGTCTAACGTTTCAAGTCGGTAAGTACCATTGGAAATTAGACGATTTACTTTAAAGGGTCCTTCCCACTTCGGTTGTAACGGGCCGACATGAGCACCAGTGACTCTTTTCAGAACGAGGTCTCCTTTGACAAACGAACGTGGCTTGAGTCTCGAGTTTATATATCTTTCGCTACGTCGTTTATAAGCAGCATTGCGAACTTCAGCGTCAGCACGCAATTCATCGAGTAGATCAAGACTGGCCTTCAAATTTGCGGGGTTGGTTTCTTCGGAGAAGTGAGGGACCCGATATGTCGGAGAGGCAAGTTCAACCGGTATCACAGCTTCAGTTCCATAAGCTAACGAGAACGGAGTTTCTCCAGTTGAATTTCTTGTCGTCGTTCGATAAGACCAGAAGACATAAGGCAATTCATCGGGCCATGATCCTTTTGCAGCTTCAAGTCGAGTTTTCAGGCCATTTTTGATAATCTTGTTTACAACCTCTATTTGTCCATTAGCTTGTGGGTGATAAGGTGATGAGAAGAAATGCTTAATGCCGTAATC